TTTATTCAGTGGGCAAAATATAGTGTACAAAAAGATTGCCCGTAGAGTGTCGCTACACTGAAAAGTAAGCAACCGACAGCCTGTATAAAAGGAGGGCTGTGATTGGCTGTTACTTACGCGAGATTTGAACGGGACTTACATTGGCGTCGGATCAGATGTAGGTAGGGCGGAATTAAAAAAAATCACAAAATCAAAATCAAAGTAAAATAATAAAATAAAAGGGCATTAATAACAAAAGTAATAAAATTAAAATAAGTTTATAGCTAAAATAATTAAAGCCCGTACACTACATCAGATTTTAATCAGATTGCACATTACACAGACACAGTGAACTTCACCATGACTCACCACATCACATAGGCACGGTGAACTTCACAGTGACCCACCACATCACACAGGCACGGTGAGCTTCACAGTGACTCACCACATCCCACAGGCACGGTGAACTTCACAGTGACCCACCACATCACACAGGCACGGTGAGCTTCACAGTGACTCACCACATCACACAGGCACGGTGAACTTCACCATAACCCACCACATCACACAGACACGGTAAGCTTCACAGTGACCCACCACATCACACAGGCACGGTGAACTTCACAGTGACCCACCACATCACATAGGCACGGTGAGCTTCACAGTGACTCACCACATCACACAGGCACGGTGAACTTCACCATAACCCACCACATCACACAGACATGGTAAGCTTCACAGTGACCCACCACATCACATAGGCACGGTGAACTTCACCCTGACACACCAAATCACATAGGTACAGTGAACTTCACCCTAACACACCAGATCAAATAGGCACGGTGAACTTCACCCTGACACACCACATCACATAGGCATGGTGAACTTCACAGTGATACACCACATCACACAGACATGGTTAACTTTCCCTAGACCCGCCACATCACATAGGCACGGTGAACTTCCCCTAGACCCGCCACATCACATATGCACGGTGAACTTCCCCTCGACCCATCACATCACATATGCACGGTGAACTTCAGTATGACCCACCACACCAAACAGGAACGGTGAACTTCACAGTGACCCACGTGCACCCTATCACACAAGTTCAACTTGAAATTGAAAATTTGGTCAATCGTTTTGACATACAAATTCGTTCACAATTCAAGCCCATGTCACATGCCACAGGCACGGTGAACTTCTCCTCGACCCATCACATCACACAGGCACGGCGAATTTCACCCTGGCACACCACATCACACAGACATGTTGAACTTCACCCTGGCACACCACATCACATAGGCATGGTGAACTTCACCCTGACACACCAAATCACATAGGCACGGTGAACTTCACCCTGGCACACCACATCACACAGACATGTTGAACCTCACCCTGGCACACCACATCACATAGGCACGGTGAACTTCACCCTGACACACCAAATCACATAGGCACGGTGAACTTCACCCTGACACACCGGATCAAATAGGCACGGTGAACTTCACCCTGACACACCACATCACACAGACATATTGAACTTCAAAGTGACCCACCACATCATATAGACACGGTGAACTTCACCCTGACACACCAGATCAAATAGGCAGCATGAACTTCACCATAACCCACCACATCACACAGACATGGTAAACTTCACCCTGACACACCACATCACATATGCACGGTGAACTTCACCCTGACATACCACATCACACAGACATGTTGAACTTCACCCTGACACACCACATCACATAGACATGTTGAACTTCACCCTGACACACCACATCACACAGGCACGGTGAACTTCACCCTGACCCACCACATCACACAGACATGTTGAACTTCCCCTGGCACACCACATCACACAGACATGTTGAACTTCACCCTGGCACACCACATCACACAGACATGTTGAACTTCACAGTGACCCACCACATCACATAGGCACGGTGAACTTCACCCTGACCCACCACATCACATAGGCACGGTGAACTTCACCCTGACACACCACATCACACAGACATGTTGAACTTCACCCTGACACACCACATCACATAGGCACGGTAAACTTCACCCTGACACACCACATCACACAGACATGTTGAACTTCACAGTGACCCACCACATCACACATGCACGGTGAACTTCACCCTGACACACCACATCACATAGGCACGGTGAACTTCACCCTGACACACCACATCACACAGGCACGGTGAACTTCACCCTGACACACCACATCACATAGGCACGGTGAACTTCACCCTGACACACCACATCACACAGGCACAGTGAACTTCACCCTGACACACCACATCACATAGGCACGGTGAACTTCACCCTGACACACCACATCACACAGACATGTTGAACTTCACCCTGACACACCACATCACACAGACATGTTGAACTTCACCCTGGCACACCACATCACATAGGCACGGTGAACTTCACCCTGACACACCACATCACGCAGACATGTTGAACTTCACAGTGACGCACCACATCACATAGGCACGGTGAACTTCACCCTGACACACCACATCACATAAGCACGGTGAACTTCACCCTGACA